TGCCCACCGCACACCCCTACACTCTTACACCCACAGCCCCACACCCCTCCCTGCATGCCCCCATCTTTCTCCACATCACTCCCCCCTCCCACTTCCGCACCCCCAGCTCACACCCCCATACTCATTGCCCTCCTACACACAGACCTGGCTGTACACACTCTCCCAAACTCATGGTGCTCCTCTGCCCCATCCTCTGCACCCACACCCCGTCCCCACGTCACCCTCCACACTGAGTCACCAAAGCGGCTCTGTAGCACACAGCCAAATTTGCGTGGCCCTGCCTAGTTGCTCACAGCTATCGAAGCACCTTAACGTCCACCTAGCATATATACCTGTTAGCACTCAGCGTTCACGCTGCCTTGCTGCCAAGCCCTTACTGCCAGACTCCTACATACAACTAGTCTCCAGAAGCGTCTGGAGTGCCCGTCCCTCCCTATACCCAGTGCACAGCTCCATCCGTCATGAGGCAGATGTGAATTTTTAGAGGCTAAGAAGTCCCAAAGACTGTTATACCAAATTATGATAGATACCCCAAGCACATGGAATATTCGAAAAAAATTGCTTCATCAAGGCAAGATGTATTACAGGTATCTTTTTCAAGAGCAAGTGGGTATGAACTGCCCATTAATATATTTATGTTACAAACCAGAACACTTCTAAACATTGGAGAACTAAGGATTTGGAAAACAAAACAAAACAAAACAAAACCTTCCAGTGGAGAGATTGGTACAGAAACAATAATTACCTTTAGGATGGAGCTCTGCATGTTTCCAAAAGGGACAAAATGATGTGGGTGCATATGACAACAGGGGACAAGACGTGGTGGCTCAGGAGATTCCTTAGCCCTGCGCTGTGTCTTCTGGAAACTAATCACAGCCACTGGGAGTCCAAGCACTGTGAAGCCCTAACACGAGTAACAGGACTTTACGGAAAATAGACTGTGTCAGTCTTCTCCTGTTCAAGCTACCTGAAAAGTATAGAGGAAAATCTCTATAAGGGGAGCTGTGATGTGAGTTTAGAAAATCTTCCTTGAAGAACAAAGCACTGGTACATCTGTTAACCCAAAGAGCCAAGAACCTATCTCAGAGATGCGTAAAATCTAGTAAGGGATTCATTTAAGCAGTTTACTGTTTCCTGATAGATTTCTTCTATATTGCTTTTGTCTCACATAAACTTACCACGATTTGTGAAATTTGGACAGTCGATATTGACTCTGTCATTGTTCCTGAAGAAGACTTAAACTTGAGGGGCTGAACTAAGCTCAACCCAAATAGGATAGCCACGGTCATTTTTGCAAGGGACTACAACTTAGCGTTTCCTCTAAAATGAGAGGAATGCAGCTTCCCATTTCTCCTTCCCCTCCCTGCCCGCTTATTGCCCAGTCTCTTTCCGTGCAGCCCTCTCAAGTGCAAAAAACAAAGTCCTTCCCATCGTTGCCCCAAATGCACCTCCCTACTGTGTGCACAGGCTGCCCTTCCTTGCACACGTGCACGCTCCCTCACTTGTACCAAGCACACCTCCATATGCTCACTGGCATTAACCTTGCTGCCTCCACAGCCTTTCCTTCCTCCCTACCTGTCTCTAAGGTGCACGTCTGAAGTCTGCATCAACTTACGCTCTCTGCTGGCTGCTTCCAGAGGCGAAAATGACAGCCACAGATTAAAGCAGCAGAGCAATATTCTGGCCAGTCCCCCTTTCCTCCAACTATGCTCTGCAAAGCAGCAGCTGGGGTGGGAGACAAGGCAGCCGCTAATCACGGCCTCTGCCACTGCAGAATACCTCTTATTTCACTGATAATCAGCCCTGTGCTGTAAACCAACAGCACTGAACTCCCTGATCTGGCTCTACGGGATAGTTCAGCCCAAATTGACAATGCTAACAAGGATGCCACTTAATCCCAAAGAAAGGCATGGGTGAACTGTGAAGCCGTAGAAGCTGATCTGAGACTATCATTCAGAAGTTACCAGGTAATTAAAAATAGATATTTTCAGAAAAAGCGTAAGAACGGCCTTTTGTTCAGAAAACTGAGAAAATTTGCCAGTTTTAATATAGATATAAAGGTATCTTATGATGTTAGCCCAGTTTATGGCAATAATGACCAAGCTGGGGATTGAATAAACTTGAAAGCCAAAGAGTTTACTAACTCAAGATGCAATTATGACAAAAGTTAATAAATAGGACTATTTAGTTATTACACTAAAGTACTTAATGATCACTTCATGTTTTAAATGTCAGAAGAGGCAACACAAAGGTACTGAAAGTTAAATTGCTTTAAATACATTTAAAATCTTTTGTGCATTTCTTTGTATATTTATATGAAAATTATTCTAAGCATAAGGTTTTTGCTAATCTATAGGGAATGAAAGAAAGGTCCAGGGAGTGGAGAAGGGCAGAAAGCACTGAGATTTCGTCTTCATGTTTAA